TCCTTGAGCTGTGGCAGGAGAGCAAACTGCTGCAGACTGATCTCCAAACCTGGGTCATGTATTCAGTCAGAAGTCACATATCCTGTCACCAGGCTGGAAAAGCTGGTCATGCTGTTTTACAAAAGCCTGAAAACATCCTTGTCAGATGAACTGGGTTCAGAATTCAAAGAAGGCACAACATACTCATGTGGGGTTTTAATAAGGTTTGATTTTATGTTACATAAATAAGACAAAGCAAGGAATTATAATGCATATTTCAGACACAATGGCGATATAATGGTAAAGGGCTCCCAAGTTATAAAGAAGCTTGTTGGGCTCACTCAGAAATGCAGTAATCAGATGGTTGCCAGATCATAAACTAATTTCCATGTCCTCATTTGGCTGTTGAGCAAATAAAACGATGTTAGAGATATCTAACTGCATGTACTTCATTAACGTGCCATCTTCAGCATATTTTAAAGTACAATAACACAATGTCTGTGCCCTTGGAGAGAGGCAAATGAGAAATATTTCCCTTTACTTTTAACAATGTCCTTTCTTCTTTCATTGGTGAGCCCAATTACAAAGCCATGATGAGACTATAAATTCTAAATAGTGTTTCCCTGGCAATTTGTACTTGGGCAGCATTTTCTTAGGTAGGATCATATTATGGAAGCAATAATGTTTTCACCAGCACAAGCACAAATGGATCATGTCTTACATATTCTGGCTGAGCCAGTGAAGTCTCAAGGAATTAATTCTGTCTGTGAGCAATCCCTCACAACCTACTAATATAAAAGCCTACATCATAAAAATTCAATAGATAGAAACCAGCTAAGCTGATTACTTCTTTTTATTGCCTTAAATTCCAATAACTGAAGATGGAAAGAGCTGGACTCACAAAATGGCAAGGAAGAAATGTTTACTGGACACTGCATTAAAGACAGGATGTACCATAAAACATGAGTGGAATTAGTTCTTGACCTAAGTAGCCTTTTCCTGTTTAAGATGACTGCTGATACAATTCTAGATGCAAAGTACCAACAATCAAAAACTCTCTATTTAAGAGAGATGTGCTATCACAGGATCTCCATCTACCATCCCTACCTCCCTCTCAAAGCTGTCCTGCCCCAAAGTGGGTAAGCACAGCTCAGACAAGGGATATGTAAACTACACAGTATTGCTTTGTCCAGTCATACTATACATACAATGAGTGCAAGGCCCCCTCATTAGGCAGGTACTGGGTACTCACAAGTTTCAACCTAGTCTTTAAAAACTACAACTTTAAACACGTTCTATTAGGTATTAGGTCCTTTCTGATTACATCTCAAATACATCTTTTCTAGCAGCAGAAATGTGCATTAGGTAAGGGTGTTCATCTGTATCAGACCAGTGCCATTAATTGTCAAACTCTTGTGGACGTTTGTGTGTAAGAAACTCTTTTAATCCCTATTCTCAAGCACCTGCTAATTCAGCTGTGAGCTCATTTATCTTTGCAGTGCAACTACCACTACTCAGGGATCCAGTCAAGCTGCTGACTCTTGCCCCTGAACTAAAACCATGAGATAGCACAGTGAAGCCAGACTGCACTCAAAAAATAAGTAGGATTGTGTCTTATTAACAAAAAGCAGCTCGAGTCCCTTTCCCAAGACCTTCTGATACATGTGTTATGCTGACACCAAGTTCATGCACACACCATCCCTTTTTTGTTCAGCCTTAGAAATGCAGTTATTAAAAGAGCCCATAAAGGAGTTGCCAGTGTGATGGACAGATTTTGCTCTCCTTAATTATTCCATTTTAGTGCTGCCTCTATTCATGCTATTCACCTTCCAAGCAAACAGAGCACCGAAGTGAAGGCATGATTAAGACAGAAGGCAAGGATGAGCTTAACACATGCCAAGAATGGGTAATGGAAGTGGAAAGGTAAGAAAATAGAATCAGATAATAGTTTGGATTGGTAGAGACCTTAAAGGTCAACCAGTCTAACCTGCCTTGCAATAAGCAGGGACATCTTCAACTAGAGGAAGATAAATCAGATATAGAAGATATGTCAGCCTTAGTCCACATAGTTATGGCTGCCTGGCTTCAAGCCACAAAAACAGACTAATTAACAAGAAGTTTCACAGTTTCTGCAGTTTTCATCATCTTGTTGTTATCAGTTGACTAGTTACCCCCATATCTCAGCAGCTCCGGAAGGAGGACTTCTAAAAGACACGACAGTGAAATGGAGTTTGGGGGAAAGATTAAACTCTTGTCAGTGAGTTTCTCCCAAGCGTGGTGGCAACAAGGTAAATGTTATCTGTGTTGGTCAGCTCAGTTAACTGTATCTTCCCTGTGAGAATTTTGTATCATTCCTATTTACTGATTTTTAGTTTTCCATTAGCAGCAAGGATATTAAACTTGCTCCATGAAAGAGATCTTACATTGCCTTCTAGGACGTTTGGAAGCACTGCTTTTAGTTTAAGAACACATTTTTATTCTCAGCATGTTGCTTCCTCCCTGCCAATATTTCAGCTTCATCATTAATTTGTGAACCATCACTCCGGTGAGAATCAGCTCTAGGCTGATAAGAATTCCTACATTTATTTGTCTCTGTTTATAAAAGATCCTTTTTAATAAACAGGAGGGTTACTTTGAAAAACGATCATAAATTAGATTTACATTTGTACAGTCAATAGAGAATTTGATGCATGTATTATAGACCTAAACTAGGTAAAAGGATATTATATCAAAGGCTTGTTAGTCTTTGTTTGCATGCAGGGAAGTCTGTAGCGTGTTTTTCAAAGCACCAGGGAGATTACCCAGCATCCACTGACAGCTTGAGGTATCTCTACAAAATCTGGCACTCCACAAAAAGGAGATCAGAACAAACCATTCCCAAAAAAACACTCAGGAAATGTAATGAACAAAATAAGGGTAGATAAAGCTATGATCACAATGCAAAGTGAGTTATTTGGGGTGGGGCTGTCTCTTCTTTTGTGCAGGTATTGCCAGGAGATAGCTGGGTTACTGCCACTACAAGATGAAGTGTAATTTTCCCTGGAAAACAGCATTTTCCTTGGGTAGAATCCAGTACCATTCCTCCTAATTCTGCAATGGCTGACAGAACTGGTTTCCTAATGCAGGCTCTCCTGTTGATTTTATGTCTTCTGATAAGGTATGAGAGCAAGTCATGCCAGAGCACAGCTCACTGTCACTGTTCCCTCTCCTTCCCAAGCCTTCAACCCAAGTGACCTCAGGGCCCCTTCTGATCTTAATATTGCAAATTATTTCTTGAAGGGAATCACAGATACTCCTGAGGGCAAGGCAATTAAAAAAGTAATATGCCCAGCACTCCAGGTATGGGACTACAACCAGGCAATAAAACAGAAAAGAAAAATCCCTTCTCCAATACTTAACATTCCAAGAAGTTAATTCCAGTGTAACTCCACAAAATAAAGCATAAGGTGACACGACAGCAAGTTAATTGAAAGATCTTTTACACACCAAACTATAAAAAAACCCCATGACTACAATTTAAAATCTGCTTCTCTTGGAGGGTAAAATAACTCTATTCAGTTCAGTTTGCATTCCTCTGCCAGGATTATTTGTGCCTTTTCTGCTACTTTTAGACAAGTTCTGCATGGGAGGAGACCAACACAAAAATTATATGGGAATTTTTCTATTTTCAGAATTTATGTCTGCTCCAACCAATATTACTGGAAGAAAGATCAAGTAACTAAGACATCAAGATGTTGCTAAAACTGCCACATACCTAAGAAAGATCCTCCTCAAGACCAAAGTATTTAAGGGCATCTTTATAGAAACACTAGATAAATGAAAGACAGTTACAAGAAGAAACACAGCTTGGGTAAGATGACTTCAGAGGGACTCTGAGCTCATCAGAGGTTTGTAGAGTTTATACTATAAAACTGAGCAGACTCAAGAGAAATTTGTGACAAGTCTTCCTGTGTTATTGCAGTATATTGCCAATTTTATGGGCAGGAGCATGAGGATGACTATAATCAATCTGTTATAGGCAAAACATTTGGGGTTCAGGATTTGAGAAAGCTTTAGAAGTTTCACTACTTACCACAGCAGTAGATTTAATTATCATGTCACAAAACAGGGTAAACTGAATATGCTGCTCATAATGAGGTGGTGATGAAGAGTGGGAGAAACTGGCATGAGTAAGAGGACAAAATAATTTGGATGGAAAACTGAGTAATTGTGGAGCTCCCATACAAAACCACCCCAGAATGTTCTGGGGAATTTCAGGCCTTGTCAATATGGAAAGCCATCTATAATCAACCAAGGGGAGAAGGCTCATTCCCTACCTCACCAGAGCAGCTGTGGTTGATCTGGCTGCATGACGCTGACGAGATGCAGACAAAGCCATGCAAGGTTGGTTGGTTGGTTTTGGGCTGATTTGCTTTCTTTTTGAGTCCTGGCACCCATGTTCCCCAACTTTCTAATAGTGTACAGGTTAAAGAGATTACAGGACAATATTGAATGCCTTTTACAAAGACCACAGACTGCTCCTAGAAGGAGGTGGAAAGGTGGGAATAAACAAGGAGGCTCCTGCTATGGGGAAATGACACTACTCCATGAACATCTAAACAACTGTAGCTGAATCAAGCTATAATAATGACCTTATATGAGTGACCTGAAAGACATTCTAAATCCAAAACAATAATTAAATTGGTAACACACCAAAACAGACAATATGGTATCAGCAGCACAGCTGGCATGTTTCAACATGGGGAATATTTACAGGATCAAGTTCTTCCTTGTTGACTGTGTTGGCATATAAAAAGCATATGTAAGCAGACTAGAGATAAACACAGTATGCTGAGACTATACAATAAAAGCAATGCCAAAATATTGCCAAAATATTGCAGAGAGAACACCAATTAACACTGGAATATGCTGAAGGTTGGAATAATTTACACAACTGCACTGTGTTCCCAAGTCACTGGTTTCACTGTGAGCCCATACACACCATTCTGCCCCAGTACCCAGATTATTAATAAGACTGTTACCTTGTTCACACCATCTGCCATGGCTTGCAGTGTTAGCTCTCTAGGTCCATCCACAGTCTTCCCATTATCAGTTGGCCCCCAGCTGGCACTATATATATCTATGACTTGAGGCATATGACTGATGGAGGAAGCCTCAATAATGTCTGTCATAAATGGCTGGTCAAGCATTCGAATACCTGTAGATTTAATCAACATAAACATGAATTATGCATTACCCAGCACAGGATGAAATCTCAGCACCTGCAGAAGGTCCCTGGTTATACAGGTATTTTAATTCACTGGCAGTTTCAATCACTCAGTAATTCCACACTCGCCATTCCCATTTCACCAGGGTGTGCTTACCCAGCAGGATGCCAGCATTAAACACCCAGCCACAGCAAGGCAGCGTGGCCCAGAAAGAGAAAGCACTTTACTGTTAGCTTTCTCATTACACAGTATTTTCTGTCTACTATTGAAGAACACTTTAAAAATACTTGTATTCAGCAGTCTCAGAAATTTGTAGCATTTAAATAACATTAATGGTATGTAAAGTAGTATTTTGTAACAACTAGGGAAAAAGACTAAGGCCACCCTCATCGAATTAATACTCAGTTTTGTGTTGACAGGTCATTAGTTTTTCAAGTAATTTTTCTATTTATTTTGGTGGCTCTCCAGAATTTCATCAGAGGAGAGAAACACACTACACAGCAATTTCCTGGAAAAATATCATTGTGTCAACATGCAGATGCAATAGCAAAATATGGCCAGTATTTGAAGGAAAAAAGCAAACTAAAACTTGCTTCCTTTAACCCACACTGCAGTAGGAGTTAAAAGTTTAAATGATACAATCTTAGGACATGTCAACTTCATAAAACCTCAAAGTGTTGGCTCTAAGCAAGCCAGAGTGTGACAGACAGCAGTGCAAGACCTCACATCCATCATGCCCCACACATAGGACAGATTCACTGAGAGCCAACCTGTCGGTGGCCTCTGGGTGAGACCTGAGTAACCAGGGATTCATTTCAACTTTCATTTGTAGCCCTGAGGGAAGTTCAGTTTTTCCCAATGGTTTAGAACACAGATGGGACAGAAATCAGTAGCACAGAGCCAAACAGAGTGAATGGTGGTGAGGACCCTGATTTAGAAACCAGTGGTTTTACTACATTCAATATAAACCCCGTGTGCCAAATATGAGGCTGGAAAAAAGTGGTACAATATTCAAATAGAAACCAGACCAAAGCTGCATATTCCTGATCTACTATTTCAAGCTAGAAATGATGAAGTCAAATTCAACGATTGAGAAATCCCTTCATGTACTTGTAAAATGCAGATCTGCACTGAAACCACAGAATTAATTATTGACCCTGGGGAGATGAGGAAACAACAGGAAAAGCCAAGCCATCTTCAGAGCAAAAAAGAGGTACAAGAAGAAAAACAAGTGACACTCCAGATCCTTAGCTACCAACTTCCAGTTCCACTTGCAAACATGGACTCTGAACCATGACAGCAGCAGACTCTCAACTTGCATGGACTTCCACATCCCCATGGACCACACGGTGGTGCTGCAGGTGCACACTGTTCTCAGGCAGGGAAGGTTGGCTGGCACTTCCAAAATCCTGTGAAGATTTTGCTACGAAGTGGGGAAGTACAGAAGATTATTTGTAGGCTGTTGGTCACCAGAAAAAGTCTTCACTTCTTTATTTTTAAGCATCCACCTTGAAGTTGTAGAGTTAGATGAATAATACAGACAAGGTCCAGCCAAAATCCCATGCACCAATTCACATTCCTCTAACAGTAGCTATTGCCAGAATGCAAATTTTGTGGAATGTCCCCTAAAGGGGATGTTACCATTACTGAAGAAAGGAGACAGCACGAGACAGATCTGGCCAGTTGCTAACTCTCAGTGATACTTCTTGGGTAACAGCTCAGCAAACATTGCTTGGTGCCCTTCTACAGTGGAGATTCAGCTTATGATTGTCTAGGTGACAGACGAAATATAGCCTTCCCCAGATTCTTCTGAAACAGGGACTGGCCAAGCAGAGCAGAGCTGTCCATGCACACATGTTGTGAACCATCCCCAGGAAGCAACAGCTGCATCCACACTGGTGTCCTGGTGTGGATCAGGGGAATTTAAGTGAAATCCATAAGCATCTATTTCTGCTTGCTGTGGCTCGTTTCTCAACTTGGAACGGTAGGAAAACTGGATTTCTTCAGTTTAAACTAAACTAACACATGGTGTCCAAGAGCCTAACTCACTCCAAGCACTGTGTTCAGTCTATCTGCACAGAAAAAAGCCTGTTAGAAGTAAAAATACCCAAGACACACAAAGTGTGAATGCTGGGTACTACTCATTTCATCCTCTGCATCAGCTCCTACCATTTTGCATCACTGTTAAAACAGAGGAAACCAACGACCAAAGAGATTTACAGCACTGCAGGCCCTGCCCTGTGAGAGCCTAAAGAGTAAGAGCAGCATGAGATTTGCCTTTTCAAATAGTTTCTGAGTGTAGCAGGAATTTATACAGAGATTTGCCAGAAATGATTCTGCAGCTACGCAGGGAAGAAGGACTGAAAATCAACGTTATGAACAGGAACTGGCATATAAAGGAGCAGAGCTGCTCCTTCGCAAAGTTATTAAAGAGGCTATTAAAGAGGCCCTTGACTGAAGAGGCAAAGCCATGGAGAAATTCCTCTCCCCAGCTTCTGTGAAAAGTAATAAACACAAGGCCCGGTGCCAACCTGCAGTCCTGTCCTGGGCAACACTCCCTGGCTCTGCAGGAGAAGTTCTGCCTGAGGCACGGGGATCATTTATCCCTCAAATTGCTACCATACCTGCAACCTTGGAGTTGTAGGCGACTCCCACACCACAGATGTTGTTGTTGGCAGCAGCAGACACCTCTCCTGCACACCTTGTCCCATGGCTGCGAAAGGGAAGACAGAGAGACCCACATGAATCCCAGCTAATGCATGTGCTGAATTGAGCTGGATCACCAAGAGCTTGTTTTGCCTCAGTCAGCTCTCAGTGCTGCAGAGGAAAACCATTCCATGGCAAACTGTTGAGCGCTGTACTTGGATACCTGGATGAGCTCATTCCTTCCTGAAGCAGGAGGTATACAACTTCCCCTCTGCATACTAACACTGCATTTTGTTGCAAAGTTATTCAGACCTTTTCTTTTTAACTCTGTCAGAGAGATTCTGCCTCATTACCAAATATTAGTCGTTAGGAAACAGGCCCCTGACAGAACAGTGTAAACATAAGATCAATATTAATTCCTTTATTTTTGTGGCTTGACAGCACGACACTCATTACTTTGAACCCTGCAGAACAAAGGCTGATTGACTTTTTGCTGTTTGAACATGTGCAAGGAGCATATCCCTGCCCACAAAAGAAATGCTAAGGGAACAGGCGGGTGCAATACCAAGCTGGAATAGCAGAAGGGAGCCAAAATGGTCACTGCACTTCTCAACAGCAGAGCTGTGGCCTGGCTGACCAGGCCCAAAGCTGTCAGACCTGAGAGCATGTGCATGCCTTTCCCCCAGTGCCTAATTCCCAGAGGAGCTGCCAAGGTGCTCCAGCTGTCAGCTCATGGTGCTACTTCTTTCTGCTCAAGTGGGAAATGTCTCTGCTCTGACACAGAGGTCCAGGTATGGGCTGACATATAGCATTTCAAAAACACCTGGTGTCTCTGAAGTGCTTTGCAGCTCTTAACAGAGACCCTTTAACAGGCAGTGACTCTCAGACAGTCCCGCAGGAAGGCAAACTGCATTTTCCTTTCTCCTAATTCATCACAGAAATTAAACTGCAGACAAGATAAACATGGACAACACAACCTAGTTTTAAAAAAATAGCACAGCAGGGAAACTATTGAAACCCATGCTGCTGCCAGGCTTTTTTTTAAGTTTAAGATGTTGAATCAATATGAATCCATCCTACTGCTCATGCATTCTACTCTGTCCATTAAAATTGGCATTGCTCCTATGGCAAGTTAAGGATTCATGCAATTAACAGTGCTGTATTGTAAAGGCTATGCTGATTATCAGATGGACCACCCTGGGAGGCAGCAGAATTAAGTTTTAATCATCTTTTTTCTCTCTCTTTCCCTTTAAGCACCTCTAGCAAAGGTGAAAGTAACATTAGTAAAGGGGTGAGAAGCAACAACATTTCCTGCTGTACTTGGAAGAATATATTTTTAAAGGCACTTCCATGAAAGCAAATGACTGGTCTTGAACCTACACAGTGAATGATCACAAAAGACTGAAGATCTCATGTATGTTGCTTTTTCAAAGGGAGGAGTGAGAACAGTGACATACATTTGTTATTCAGCTGCTGCACAAATTTCTTTCAGCAATCAAGCAGGTTTTTCCTCATGCCCGTGTTCAAGGAAGTGTGAAAAAAACACACTGTGCTAGGCATTCATTATCTAGTCACCTGTGGGGTAGCTATAAGCCACAGAGTAGAATAAATGGCTTTGTTAAAAATTGGCTTGACTGATGCTGGGGTGCAAAAAATCAGTGACACTGGCAGGTGAGCTCTTTCTCTCACAGATAGAAAAATTGTATTAGGACTTCCCTTGTGAAAAGGTTTTACAAAAAGGTCCTCTCCCCCACCAGGCCTCCCTATCACTGTGGCCCTTATGGAGAAGACTGCAAGCAGGTCTGTTCCAGCAGCTTGGGGTTTCAATGTCATGCTGCTGACTAGAGAAAAAAAATAACCACATATGAGTGAGTGGAAATGCATTTGGTTGAATTATTAATGGCAAATAGCAGACTTTTCCAACTTAGCACTATTTGCTGTTCATGTATCATTGATAAACCCATTGTGGTTTCTATGAAGTGATCCATGTCATGAGCACAAATCACACCCTTTCTCTACAGTGTTCGCTTCTTTCCTATTACTCCCATGGTTGAAACAAGGGGATAGAAGACAATGAAGAATATTTTCACTTTTGAACAAGTTACTTCAAAAGTAAACCACATATTAGCAAGTCAAGGAAGTCATATGTTAGCAAGTGGAGCAAGTTTTCCATAAATGTTATATAAATGAAAACATTTTACATGAACATTCATGAAAAAATAAGATGGGAGAAGGGGATTCAACTGAAAAACAGTTTTGCCTTCTGCATTTAAGTAAGGTACCTGTACAAGTTATGAAAATTTCACTCTGTTTTGTCTTTAAAAACTACTTCTGTTTCTAAAACCTACTGCCAATGCTATCTATACTGCCTTCTATCAATGTGTTTTTTGAAAGTGTCAGAGGTGGCACAGATTTTCATTGAGGTCCCTTTTTATCTGCTCTGAAATGCTTCTGCACACAGCAAAGGACAGGACCCATCCATCCTAACTTCAGCTGCAGAGCTGCAGTCTCAAGAGCTGGGACCATCTGAGTATCTTGATCATTTTAGCTGCTTGCATTGGGCAGCAGTTAAATATGCAGAGCTCACAGGGACACTTCTGTGAAGCAAAGGCCATCCCCTTTTTTTCACATGACATTATCAGCTTCTGAGCATTTGAGTGTTTGCAGAAAGGAAAGTGTTCCTCTACTTTGCTTTGGATCCTTAACAAGTAAACAACATTTTTACCTCTGAAGAATATGGGGTCTCCAAGATAGTGAATATATTTAGCCCTGCTAACTCTTAGCTGAGTGAGAGAATATACAGAATACAAAGGCCACAGGAGTGGAAATAATTATTGGTTATTTGGATCAGTTATTTGTAATCTCAGTGCTCTGAGATGGGGAGCCCAAGCCATGCCTTCTGCATGCTCACAACAAGAAATCAGAGGGCTGTACAGAAAGGCCAAGCTATCACTGATCCCTGTTGGTACCTCCACACTGTACAATGCGGAACATGCCAAGGTACTGAATGTGGTTCAGGAGGAGAGGGTGTTCAAAATCACAGGTAGTTCCCAAAGTGGTTCCTAAAAACCACTTTGAGTGTTGTGGGGCTGCCTCTGTTTTTGGGAACAGGGCTTGATTCAGGTTTTTTCACTGCTCCTCGGGCTCAAACACAGCTCTGTCCCAGTGTCCCCTGTCCTGGCTTGATCCCCAAGCTGTGGGTCTGAACACAGCCAAGCAGTGAGTACAGTAAGCACAGGAATAAATCCCTTGGCTGCCCAGCCACCCATATGCCTCTGCCTGTAGCAGCAGCTGAACTGCCTGACTGCAATTCCCTGTCTGAGGCACCACACTCTGCCCTTGTAAAATCCACCCAGCTTGGTTTCATAGGCCACTGGTTGTTAGATGGAAAGGCCGAAGTGCTTCCAGCAGCCTTAAAAAGCACCAAGTGGAAGGGGAATCTGTGCTTACAAGCAGAGCAGCTGTGATTAATGAAATATTCCCTGCAAAAACTCCCATTTTTTCCTAAAGTCTAATGACACTTTGCACATGCAACTGGCACCTCACAAAAGCCCCTTGGTGATCAGTTCTCTGCTTCTTGTTCCACAAATCACTGGAATTGCTCACAGAGAAACATATTCTTCAAGGAAAAAGGGATATCATGTTATCCTATTCTGAGTCTGATTCTCCTGCGTGCATAAAATTCAATGGGAGGTGCATCACTGACTGCAAACAGAGCAAAATGGAGCCTTTATTGCAGGTTTCTCTGAACAGCTTTTCTGTGTAATCACTCCCAATCCAGATGCACCTGTACAGCTACACATATGGACAGACTGTCAGAGCAGACAGTTGTAACCTACCAGTAACAATAATGCAGAAGTCAGAAGTCATGGTAATAGCTTATATAGGAATACATCAACTCAATTAACTGTATAGCAAAGAAATATGCAGAGAAAAACAGTCACAACTACTCCTGAACAGCTGAATACAGTGTGTTGCTTTGCATCTTAATCTGGAGAAAACAAGAAATCTTTCATCTCAAAGCTTTTTTATATTGTTAAAGAGGAAAGGAATGCTTTACTGCATGTGTTGCTCCCACGATTTACCTTGCAAGGCAGAAAATTTCCCGTCTCATGAAAGTAATCTCAAGGTTCACAGAATCACAGAATGGTTTGGGTGTGAAGTGACCTTAAAGATCATCTAGTTCCAATTTCCCTGCCATAAGCAGAGATGCCACCCACTAGATCAGGCTCCTCAGGGTCCCATTCAACCTGGTCTCGAACACTTCCAGGGGTAGGGAGTCCCATCATCACAGAGGTTCATTGGCAAAGAATACAATACACTCTAGGTACCTTTTTTTTTTTTCTCCAAAGAATAGTGAAGTAAATCTGCAGAGCAATTTCTCCATTGCTCTCCTCCTCCTGACTTGCTGACTTGAGCTCCCCTTTCCCTCCAGAAACAGAAGAAAGTGTTGCAGTTCTATGAAAACCAGAATCATGTTCTTAATCACCACAGATTGGGTCAAAAGTGACCATTTGATTTTTCACTTAAGTGTCTGAAATTAGCCAGAGGCACCTGGGACCAGAGATGACCTCTGCATCCAGGATGCTTGGGGTCTGTTTGAAGAGGCTTTAGGAGGTAACTCTCCCTCCAGGGCCACTTTGCAGAACAGGTGAGGACTGCAAACTGGACCCCACTATAAAATACTTGACAGCAGCACAATCAGTGTTAATGGGGCTTGGCAGAACACAGTTTTATGCAGTTCCACACTGAAAACGACAGAAGCCACCATTACCCACTAAAACTAAATTTAATTTTCCTCCTCTCTAGAGCTAAGTGATATCTTTCTCCTATAATGATCCTCTGCATAAATAAAGCCAGAAAGGCAGCAGACCTTCACAAATTAGAGCCCTAATTCTTCTCTGACTTTCCTTTCACTAATTGGATTCATACTACTTTAAAAATGTTAGATGTCCTTCCCCAAAATGAAGGAGAAATCTCTTTGGGATCTTGTTTTAGCTGAAAAATGGCAGGACTACAAAGAAGGACATCACAGCTGCTAAATCTGTTTGATCCGTTCCAGGAGGCCTCTGTTTGAGGTGGAAGCACAGCTGCTTCTTTGTTGTGGCACTCTGACAGAACTACAATTGATTTCTTTAGAAATAAAAACAAAAATCCCCATCCAAAACTCAAAGACCAGTTGTCATCCCAACCACATCAAATAGGCCTGAAATTTCTTTTGATAAGCACTAAGACTGAGCCCTGAAACCTTTAAAAGTTTTCAAATCCTCGGCACCGCTGTTACACAAATACTGGCAACATCTGCCTAGAAGACATTTGGAAATTTCATTGAAAAAGTCCTGAAACAATTTTTTGAAAATCCAAGCTGGAACCTGCTGAGACCTCAGGGCAGATCCAGAGGTGCTGTATTCTGAGATCACCAGGTTATAATCACACCTTGTGGGAGTACCTTGGACTCTGCACCCTTGACTACACTAATGTCTTGCTAGGAGCTGTCAGAAAGGGCTGTTCCATGGGACAAATGCAGAACTTGGGATACACATTTTTTGTAAAATCTGTCACATGTTTCTATGCCATGTGGGGAAAAAAAAAAGTTTAGGGAAACCAAAAAAGTCACACTTTCTAAAATCTGAAGTCTTTTCTTTTGGGCCATTCTCATTTATACCATACCTTGAGGACCAGTCCTTCTCCTGCTGAAAACTGGCTAAGTTCAGAGCCAAGTTCAGAACATATTGAAGAAGGAATGGATCTTGGGCATTTGCTATGTATTCAGGAGAATTAACACAACAAGCACAGCTGCACTGTTGATTCCAAGTTTATAAACAAAATAGAACAGCTTCCCAGTCACTGTATGTGGACTTGAACTTCTCCAGTAGCTAGAAAAATGTTACTCTGGTACACTGCCCTTAAATCAAGGTGAAAATACACGATTCAGAACTTAACATCTAATTGCTTTTAAACTGGTCATTCTGCACCATGCTGCTTTTCTACCTTCTTAGCCTACAATGAGATGAAAAGACTTTTTCCCCCAAAAAAAATCTTTAGTCTCTTCAGCTTACTTGCCTTTAAAATTAGCTGGTAGTAATACTTCCTCAGACACAGTTGATGGGAAACCAGTTTATACAGGTTTGGTTTACTGGAATGTCCTAGGACTGCTGACAAAAAGGTATGTAGCTTTCACCTATTCAAACAATCTAAAAATACACTCTTCTGAAGCAACAACTTCATTTATAAACTGTAAAATGGTTGTTCAGTGCTATTTAGAGGTCACCTAAAAAAATGAAGTCATAAGTAACCTCTAATTTTCAAGCAATAGTGAGACTGCAGTGTCTGTTCTGGTGACCATTGAATTTAGCAGAAAACAGCCATTTCACAAATGTCATCAAATACTCAGAATTTCTTAAGCAAACCAAAGTGAAGGGCAAGCCTGCCTAAAATCCACTTACCTGTTAAACCAGTCATCTGTGTAGCGGGGGTAGGGGTAGGGGTCATTACTGCTGAAGTCGTAGCTGGCTTTGGCATTCTGCAAAACACAAAGAAGTTCAGAAAGTCAGCTGAAAACCAGACACACAGGGCAAAGTGAAACACAAACTGAAGGGGAAGCTGACAATCATCAGCAAAGTTCATTCTCTTCATTCTGCAAGATGCATCTGGACAGAAGCCAGTCCCTGTTGTGCCATTTCCCATTTCCCACACCAGCAAGCCTGGGAAAAGATGCTTTCTGGAGAGCCAAGCCTCCTGCAGACCACTGGTATTTCAAAACAGTGTGGCTAATTGTAGGGTGGTGTGAGAGCTCAGGTCACTGCTGAGGTCCTTTTCATCAACACTTACAAGAGTATTCAGGTGTTAACCTTGGTGTGGCAAAGTAAAGCTTTAATCCTATTTTCCAGACAGTGTTGGAAGTGACCAGACACATAGGTCTTCTGAAACAGAATTATTTTTTAAAAACTCATTTGTGGTACTACAACAGTCAGATTTCTAAAAGCATTTCAATGCCTAAGAATGTAAATTTCTCAAAATTCAACTGTGAAAGCTGCATTAATGGTCAGCACATATGCCTGAAAATCCCTTTGCATATTTTCTCAGTCCTTTAGCTTGTGAACAGCTTCACAAATGTGCCTTTCGGGTGCTTTTCAAAATGTCATCCCATGTCTGTGCTTTCCATGTAAATCTAAATCATTCCTGATTCGCCCTATCAGCAGCTACGGACACTCAGCAACTTTTTGATGCTATATCTGAGAAGTTAATGGAAAGTTTCAGAAAGTCAAGTGCCATCTTCTTTCTTCTCTCTTAATCAAAAAATAAATAAAGGGTGACTGAAAATTAGGCTTTAAAAATATTTGGCAGCTTCCTCTCAAGTGTATGTTCACTGAGTTTACATTTTAATAATCACCATACTCAAGGAACAGAATTATGTTAATTCTTAATTAATGTGTACTTGTATTCCTTTTAAGATTCGGCTGAGCATGCTATTGAAGATAATTTGAGACTCGTGTATGAATAGCTTTGCTCCTAAAAACATTCCCCTTCAGCTGATTCTCAGTTCCTGTAGTACAGGAATAGACAGTCCATTGGTAGCACCCAAGTGTTTGGGGTTTAGATTCAGAATCCCTAACTCCCAAAAAGAATGAACAAGGGACAGCATTGTCCTTGATACTTGTAGGATAAAACTAAGTATCTTTCACGTTACTGTACAGCTGGGTTTTTTGGATGCTCATTTCAGAAAGCCTGGTTGCTTATATTCAGCACAGACAACAAATATTTTTTAGCAATTTGATGGAACAGAATGGCTCTCACATGGCTTGATGCTCTCCTCTAGCTCAGAGCTGAATCCCTTTTTGAGATCCTTCTTGATCCCTCCATATCTTTCACTAAGACCTTGATTTTCAGCCTGAAGATGCCTTCCAATCTTATCAGCCAGAGCCACAAATCTTCAGTGCTTCTATGTGTCCAGGTGTCTGATTAATTTACCTCTTTTAATTATCACAACTGCTTATACAGCACTTTGAATGGCATAGGTTTGCATGAGCTAAGAGTAAACAGAACACAACTTTTCAGCCAGGGAAAAAAGGGGAATTTGACAGTTGTCTATAAATCATTAGAGTACAGAGAAGGTGGGCAGGAGTTATTATTTACTACTCCTCATAATACTAAGGCTAATAGGAATCTATAGAAATTACCAGAGGGGAGACTTAGAAGCAGCAGAAAAAAAAAAGTAGTTTTCTACAGAACATGTAATGAGTTACAAAATTCACTGCTGCCCAGCAACACAGAGGTTAAAAGCCTGAATGAAATAAAATTCAGTTAGATAAACTAGTGAAAGGTAAATCTGGATGGAGTATTAGGCTGCAATTTCTCCTTCTCCAGGAGTCCACAAACCAGAATGCCAAAAGCTAGGGAGGCACAGCCTCTGACTGGGTGATCATGCTGCTCCCCAAGCATCCACCACTGGCTGCTGCTGGAGGCAGGATCCAGAGCTAGAAGACTTTGGGCCTCACCAGTGTGCCTGGGTCGCACAGGCATCCCATCTTAATGCAACAGAGGAAGTCTGGATTCTACAGCATCCAGGCAGTGAAAAAGACTTGTGCAAGGGGTCAGGCTTCATCCATGTGTAGAGGGTTTGTAACCCTCCCTGGGAGGGAAATGGAACTAGGATAGGTCACCTGATGTATATTTTACCAATAAGCTATTCCATACTAAGTTAACGTCAGCTCAGATATAAAGAGACGAGAAGCCCAGGTACAAGAATTAAGAAGGAAGAAAGCCAGTAAGAAGGTTGTCCATGTAGTTGATGCAGAGAGCCCGGAAAGAAATCAGTGACCTTTGAGACACAAAAAGACTGAGATCAACTCCTGTGATCCTGATGAGGGGACCTCTGATTGGGCAATGCAAAGGTCAGATAGTGAATACTCTGATCAGGAACAATAGAGGGGCCCTGCCTTCAACCAGGAGAAGGAAAGGGACGATAGGGTTTACTGGACTGTGGGGATTTGATGGCCTGGCACATCGGATCTGCAGAGATAATCGAGCTTTAGTAGACACTGGTGCACACTGCACCTTGATGCCATCAAGGCATAAAAGCACAGATCCCATCTGGATTTCTGGAGTGACAGAAGGATGTCAAGAATTATCAGTGCTAGAGGTTGAAGTGAGTTTAATGGGGGACAAATGTGAAAAGCACCCCATTGCGACTGGTCCAGAGGCCCCTTACATCCTTGGCATTGATTACCTCAGAAGAGGATACTTCAAAGATCCAAAGGGGTATTGGTGGGCTTTTGGTGTAGCCACAGTGGCTACAGAGAAATTTAAACAATTATCTATCCTGCCTGGCCTCCCAGAAGATCCTTCCATTGTGGATTGTTGCACATCAGAGATCAACAAGTGCCAACGGCCACTACAACAGTACATAGATGACAATACCGAACGGACTGAGATTCTGCGATTCCCATCCATAAGATGATTCGAGAGCTGGAGAGCCAAGGGGTGGTCAGCAAGACCCACTCACCCTTCAATAGCCCCATCTGGCCCATACATAAATTTGATGGAGGATGGAGACTAACTGTGGACTATCGTGGCTTGAATGAAGTTACCCCGCCACTGAGTGCCGCTGTGCCAGACATGTTGGAGCTCCAGTACGAACTGGAGTCCAAGACAGCGAAGTGGTACACCACCATTGATATTGCAAATGCATTCTTCTCCATCCCCTTAGCAGCAGAGTGCAGGCTACAGTTTGCTTTTACGTGAAGGGGTGTGCAGTACATTTGAAACCAACTGCCCCAGGGATGGAAACGCAGTCCCACCATCTGCCATGGACTGATTCAAGCTACACTAGAGAAGGATGAGGCTCCAGAACACATACAATATATTGATGACATTATTGTATGGGGGGACACAGCAGAGGAAGTTTTTGAAAAAGGAAAGGAAATCATCCAGATTCTTCTCAAAGCTGGTTTTGCCATCAAAAAGAGTAAGGTCAAGGGCCCTGCCCAAGAGACTCAATTCCTAGGGATGAAATGGCAAGATGGACATTGTTGGATTCCAACAGAAGTCATCAATAAGGTCATAGCGATGGCTCCACCGACTAACAAGAAGGAAACACAAGTTTTCCTAGGGGCCATAGGTTTTTGGAGGATGCATATTCCTGAGTACAGCCAAATTGTGAGCCCTCTTTATTCAGTGACCTGTAAGAAGAATGATTTCCAATGGGGTCCTGAACAACAGCAAGCCTTTAAACATTAAGCAGGAGATTGCACATGCCATGGCCCTTGGACCAGTCAGGACAGAATGAAACGTGAAAAATGTACTTTATTCTGCAGCCAGGGATAATGGTCCCTCCTGGAGCCTCTGGCAAAAGGTGCCCAGTGAGACCGGAGGCTGACCACTTGGTTTCTGGAGCTGAAGCTACAGAGGATCTGAAGTCAACTACACTACCATGAAGAAGGAAATCCTAACGGCTTATGAAGGAATACAAGCAGCCTCAGAGGTGATTGGCACAGAAGCACAGCTTCTCCTGGCACCCCGACTACCGGTGCTGAGCTAGATGTTCAAGGGAAAAGTACCCTCTATACATCATGCCACTGATGCTACATGGAGTAAGTGGATTGCCCTGGAATTCTAGAGATCATAACAAATTGCCCTGAAGGTGGAAACTTCAGTCTAGCAGATGAGGAGGAAGAAGAACAAGTGGATTGGGCTGAGGAAGCTCCACCATACAATCAGTTACCCGAAAGAGAAACACATTATGCCCTCTTCACTGATGGTTCTTGCCGTATTGTAGGGAAGAACTGGAAGTGGAAAGCAGCTGTCTGGAGTCCCACCCGACAAGTGGCAGAAGCTACTGAAGGAGAAGGTGAATCGAGTCAATTCACGGAACTCAAAGCCGTTCAATTGGCCCTGGACATTGCTGAACAAGAGAAATGGCCAAGGCTTTACCTCTACACTGACTCGTGGATAATAGCCAATGCTCTGTGGAGGTGGCTGGATTGATGGAAAAAGACTAATTGGATGCGTAGAGTAAAACCCATCTGGGCTGCTGATTTGTGGCAAGACACTGCCACTCGAGTTGAGAAGCTGACTGTGAGAGTCCGCCATGTAGATGCCCATGTACATTGGGATAAGTATAGATATGGGGAGGCCTGGTAGGTTGATTATATCACAGTGCCACAGACTCGCCAAGGTAAACACTATGTGCTCACCATGGTAGAAGCATGGTTAGAGACTTATCCAGTGCCTCACGCAACTGCCCAAAATACCACTCTGGGTCTTGAAAAGCAAGTCCTGTGGCGATACGGCACCCCAGAACGCATTGAGTCAGACAACGGGACTTATTTCAAAAACAGTTTAGTTACTACTTGGGCAAGGGAACATGGCATTGAATGTGTATATCACATCCCATATCATGCACCAGCAGCTGGAAAAGTTGAGTGGTGTAATGGACTGTTGAAAACTACTCTGAAGGCATTGGGTGGGGGGACTTTCAAGAATTGGGATCAGCATGTAGCAAAGTCAACACTAGAGGCTCCA